GCTGCTCGCATATCTGAACACCAACGTTCGGTGGCACTTGGCAATTGTGACACGGAACTTTCCAAATTGGTGATACAACACCACCACGTAGCGCTTTGGAATCGAGTGGAAATACTCAAACGCTGTGATGAAGGGAACTTGATATACATTTGGGAGGCCCTCCTCACAAAACTGCTCTCCCCGTGCAACACCCCTACCCTCGATTTACCGGACGTCTGGATTAATTTATTCAGGCGGTTAAAAAACCAACAATAATTTTGCATTCTCTTCCCGCACCTCCTACATGATTCAAAGCACATACATGTCGGCCCCTTTATGTGCGTCTTTTTACGTGTGTTATGTATTTTAAATTATGTCCCGCGCTTTAATATTTAAAATTTAAATTTTAACATAAACTTGCACTTGTGGATCTATTCCGATCGGTTTCTATGCTGTCTATGTTAAGGCGCATGCGTGCCAAAAATTTTATACGTATTTACAAAGTGTTTTAATTTAAATTCTAAAAATTTAATTGTTCTTAATAGACATCTAATTGGCTCTCATGTTATGCATGTTAAGGTGCACGTGCGCCAATTTTTCGCGTTCACATAATAATTAATAGCCACTCCAATCGATGTTTATTTGTTTTAAAACGCATGCGCACCAATTTTAAATGTTTAATTCTAAATATTTAAATTTAAAATCTCTTTTTTGTATGTTCAAAAACGGCTAGTATCGTTAATGTTTTAAATTTAAATGTATGGTTCGAATTCTTTATTCGAATTTAATTTTACCTGAAGACGACGTGCTTATTTACGTCGAAAGCGCTCGTAAATTAAAAATAATTTCAAGTATATTTAACGCCTCATAGACTGACGTTCTTGGAAGTTTTGAAAAGATTATTATGAAAGATACATGAGCATCATAAATTTCAATTAAATTCTCTTCTTCACATTCCAGAGATCAAATAAAAAGCATTGAAACAAATTTAACAAATTCTTAAAAATGTTACAAAAGAAATACAGTAGAGCATCGATTATCTGACCCCTATGATCAACTGTCACATCAGTTAACCGACCGCGTTCTAGTCAGCAAATTCAAATGCCCACTAGTGATGTAGCGCTACAATATTTGGCTATGTCTTGGCTACTTTATTATTATTTTTACATGTTTTAGCTGGCAACATTGGCTCGACCATGAAAGGGAGCCAGTATTTAAACAAGGCTTAATTTTCTAATTTTTAACGATACAATAGCAACGTTTATTATTTTTTAAAAATTTCTGTTAGGCTTAACATCAATGAAAAATTCAATGCAAAGTAGGTTAATAGCAATATACTAATATACTATACTAATAGTGTATTTTTTCATATTTTTCGGTTATCCGTTTTTTCAGTTATCCAACCAACCCAGTCCCTAACTAAGTCAGATAATTGATGCTCTACTGTATAGTAAAATTCTAAATTAACAGCAAATAAATTACACTACAGTAAAATAAACTATTGTAATTAATCTTCACTGCAACACCAGCTTACTGACTAACTATCAAAACTTAGATAAAAAATATAATTTACTTACTCTAACCATTATGAATCTTTCACGTTTTCAAATACAAAGAAATATCTGAAATATATAAATTAATGTTTTAAATAAAAATATATTCAATATATGACTAGGAATATATTAATGTAAATTATTTAAACATAAGATTTGACAAACTTACTGTTATGTATAGTTCATTAAATAATTATAAGTTAAACATTAAACACAAGTGTACAAACAGTTTCGTTATAACTGTTTGTTACAATTGTTCATGGTTATAATGACTTACCTAACTTATTATAATCATAAATATTTTTATGACTACAACTAAATTTTTATCCTGTTTAATACTTAAACTGCATTTATGTCACATCAGAGAATTTCTCCTGGAAAAGTTCTACTTTCCAGCATTACATTCACAGATTTTGGAACTTGCACACCTGGTAATCTACTTTTCCTTCACCTTTAACAACACCACATATGTCCAGAACGGTTGGGGAGCCAACTTTCACAGTGTGTGAAATGTTCTTAGATTCCTGGAGTTTGCTACTTGGCCCAAGTATGCATTGATCGAACATTTGTCTGTAGCCCATAAACATTAATGTAATGGTAATGTACTAATTATATGGAGAAGACATCCCTACATCCTACAATTTGACAATAATATTAACTCCAATTTATCTGGCCTTATATTGAAAGAAAGAAATGTGCCTTGGTTCACTTGAGCAAAAAAGTAACACCAAGGCACATTTTTTTTTATTTATCTATCTTTCTCTCTTTAGAATGATGGAATTAATATCAATGTTTACAGATTTTGAAAGTTTCACACCTGAAGCCTTCTATAATCCATTCTTCATTTCCTGGACCTCTCATGATCCATTCCTTTATAAGGTGGTGCCTTTAGGACTGATTAGAAGGACCCCACACACATTGTCAGGATTTACAGGATAGAACACACAAGTTGAAATACAACATATTTCCTTGGTGAATGGTATGGTTTTATGCCTCAGATCATGAAATCTCTAAAGGACTCCAATTAAAACCAAATGATAAACCAAGTAATAATTCAAAGGCCATGTAACTTACACAGCAGTTGATTATGCATCTTTCCACCATAGCATCTTATGAGAGATTAGCAGGACTATGAACCAGAGAATTATTAATAAAAAAAATACAATTTTCAAAATATTGTGTAATGATAAGAACCATCCTGATCCAAGACATATCCTTAGAATACTGTTCCCATCAACAACCTGAGTGATGCATGATTTATATTATGTTGGGGCAACCATGAGATCTCCATGTGCAAGATTGAAAAAACACCAAGATGATATACAGAGATCAAATCCACCCACAGCCTTGGAGATTTATGCCATCTTGAATTCCAATTCTGTCAATGTTAACTGGGACCAAGCCAAAATCATACAGGAAGTTTGAAGCTGACACTGCATTTGATATGTTGAAACATTACATATTTATAAATCATTTCATCTCAGACAGGTGATCAACTACAAGGATATCAACACTGTGGAATGGAAAACTTGCTATGAGCCAAACTCCATGTAACCTAAGGCTACTACTAATTATACCAGGTTGTTCAATAAGTTTTGTCGTTCGATAAGAGGTGGCGCTACTAGGAGCGTCACTTTATTACTCTATAAATAGTACTACTATTTCATAAACACGTGTCAAGTTTCAAGTAGATCTGTCAACTCATTGTATATTTGCAGCTGTTCAANCAATTTTAAATAAAAATAATCGAATGCAGAATATAACGCATAAGATAAGCTAAAATTATGTTAAAGCCGTTAAGAACACGAAGTAAATATTTAAATATAATTCGAAAACCAAACGAGCAGAAAGCTCCGTGAAGTGCGAGCTGGCGCATGCGCGGAACCATGCTCACACCACATGCATACTAGGAGACTGCTAATACTCGCTTAAACGCTTATACAGCATGACCCATACACTAGGCAGCTCGAGCATAGTGGTGTTGCAAGTGTCCAAGGTGGTAGTGAGGAGAGATTCCCATATAAAAACAGTTTTTCGATCCTTGCAGCTCTTGAGCATAACTGCTTGGGACCATAGCGGGTTGTAACCCTGCTCAAGTACCTTTCTTGCGAGCTTGGTGGTGTGTCTTCCCCTCCTAACAACGTCTTGGTGCTCATCAAGGCGGTTGGAAAGCATTCTAGTGGTGGCCCCGACATATCTTGTGTTTACTCCCATTGCCTGATTTTCCAAAGGTACGGCATAGACCCCCGATTTCTCAGGGGTGGAAAATTTGTCTCTATCATTACAAATAAGTTTGCGTAGGCTTGGAAGTGGTTAAAGGTAGTACAAGGTTGCGCTGCTTAAAGACTCTGCAGATACATAAAGATAGGGGTCCAAGGTAAGGCAACGCTATTTGTACCTTTGAAGACTCTCTCTTGCTGCATAAAGTAGTAGTTGGAAATAGTGCTTTCTTTACCTTATTGAGCACATGTGTAAACTTTGAACGTGAAAAGCCAGCAGCGCATACCGCCAAATTGATGATATCTAACTCGACGTTTATCAGCTCCTGGGTAGATGACAGTAAATAAGCCCTTCTGACAAGGGAGGCAATGGCAGTATTAACGTATTGAGAAGGTTGGAAGGCCTCTGCTGGTATAATGTGCGGAGCTATGCTAAATTTGTGATGGACCGAGAATTGTAGTCCATCCAAAAGTTTACATATACGCAAGTCTAAGAACGCCACTTCCGCATCGCTTTCTTTCTCCCAAGTAAAATTGATGGAAGGATATATACTTGCGAGTTGTTGCATAAAGATGAGGAACGACTCCTCTGCGCCTTCCCACGTTATGAGGATGTCGTCAACATAACGCAAATACAGCCTTGGGTAATGGATGGCAAGCAGGGAATTGAACGTTCTGTGCTCAATCTCTCTCATAACAAGTTCTGCTAAGATAGCAGATTAAGGGGAACCCATGGGGACCCCTTGTTTTTGTAAAAAGATCTTTTGGTTGAAACGGAAGTAATGCTGAACTCAGTGTCTTTGTTTTTGTTATTATATATTAATTTGGCGTGTTACCTTTCCTATTGATTACATACTATCAGATTTTCCTGAACTTTCTGCATAATTTTCATGAACTATTAGTACTTATGTATGTAAATTTTCTTTTCCCGTCTTCTGTTGATAGATGCGTTTCTTCTTGAAACTTGTTTCAGTGTTGCCATATCTCGACACTTCTGCTTTTGGTGTTGCTAGATGTTTTCCTCTTATTCCATAGTTGCTTTATTCTTCATAAGTGCTTAGCATCTTATAAGGAAATTTATAAAGATCTTTTAACTAAAAGCAAGTAATCTATAATAACATTTTTTTTGTAAAAGGTAGAGCATGGATCTGAAGATAATGCAGAAAAATGCTCAGAGGATAAGAATATCTTGACAAAAGAAAACACCTTCTGTTAATAGTGCTTAGTGATGAAGAAAACACTGTTTAATTTATATTAACATGTATCACTTAAATATCTTTACTAAAATTTTCTTATCTTAATTATCAAAAATATAATAGCATGTTTTTTAATTTTTGGAACCTAACCCCCTTTTCGTACTAGTCCTTTGTTTCGTATAACACGGATTCACATAGCACGGCAATTTTTTGGAATAACTGCCGTGTTATATGGGGATTACCTGTACTAAAATATTTCATTTCAGATTTTTGTAAAAATTTAATAAAATGTAATAATTAATCATAGTAATAGAAGTGATGTACTAAATCTTTGAATATAGAAGTCTCCAAAAGCTGGAACATACACAAATGAAAACTGAACACCCCACACATAGTCTTTCAACAAATAAAATGTATTGGAATCAGTCAGTCAGTCAATATCTTTATTATATACAATAATTTGTACATGCCCAGCTCCGCATGGCACTACCGGGAATGAAATCCAGATAAAGTAATTGTTAACTTGCTTACAATACAGGAATTACAGAGATATCAAAAAGTAGGATGAAATAAATAGTATACAAGAGTTAATACAATGATGATGCAGGTATTACAATGATGTTGCAGTTAAATATAATGATGATATAGTTAATTACAATTTGTTTACAGTAAAAGGTACATACAGAATTACAAAGTGATGGATTCTGAAAGTTTTACAAGTACAGACACTATGCAATATTACAAGTGTTAATACAAAATAAAATATGGAGACGTGTATAAGTGCAGAAGGAAAAAAAACATAAATTACATAAAATTGAGTACAATACAGAAAATTAAGTAATGATACAATATAACAGAGTGTAAAATACAATTTGTGTATAGAATACAATACATAAGAGAAGTAACATGAGCCTTTACATTACAACTTTGAAAACAGTAGCAGTTATGGTAACATTTGTACAATATTTACAGAGGCCCATAGCAATGGCAGAGGTAATGAAGGAGAACAATGTCTGGTGAGAAACTACTCATGCATAGTGATGGGTTCCACTTGCTCATAAGCAAGCACTAGGTTATGAAAAGCTGAATAAAGTTCCTTGTGTTTAAGGAGATTTTGTTGCTGACACGACCAGGAGATGTTTAATTTCTGTGCAATTAGTTCAATTTTGAGACATTCCCTTTCAAGGCACATGCATCTATAAAGATAGTGGTTGGGGCCGTCCTTCTCCCTACAGATGGCACAAAGGGGAGTACGTTTACCCGTAAAGTGATGGAGATAGCTGTAAAATCTCCCTTGGCCAGTAAAAAACTGAGTAAGGAGATAATTGATATTAATCCAGGTATGGTAGTGGTGTATTGGAATCAATTAAAAAATGGCACAGCAAGCATCAATCATTACAGAACATTAGCTGAGACACTAAATTTTTCTGATGTAGGCTCCTAAAAGAGGCCAAAAATATTCCATTTTTAATTGGTTTTAATACATATTATTTGCTGGAAGACTGTGTATGGTGTTGTTTAGTTTTAATTTAAATCTTTGAATTCAAAGACTTTCAGTCCATTGTAATAAATTACGATGTTACTTGTTATGGGTAATTTATTTTTATTTATTGTAATATTCTATCACTTGGATATATAAGATATTTAGCAAAAT